TGTGTTCATCATGAAACCAAGAAAACTGAGACTGTGGGTAAACTAACAAATTCATTTTTACTGTTTAGCCATCTCATAAAATTAGCCCAAAAAGTGCCTACTGCTGATCTGGAGAACGTTTTGCCACTAGCTGAAGAGATTACCAACATCCTCTCCAAATGCTGTCAGTCTACCTCTGAGGACTGCATGGCCAAGGAGGTAAGAGAATCCCCATCACCACTGTCATCCTCATGTGGCAAGTAGCAACAGGTACTGAGTGGCAGCCACTCTTCTAAGCTGCTTTTTGTTTTCCTAATGAATCCTCACATGTATCCTATGAAATGCAAATTTATTATGAACTCCATTTTACAGATGAGGAAAGAGAAGATTAGCAAGGGCCAATAATTTGAGCCCATACAACTAGTAAGGGACAGAGTCCACACGGAAGGACAAGATTATCTGACTCCCAACACCTTGCTCTGGCTGCACTGTCCAGTGTGGTATCCATTAACCACCTGTGGTGGTTTAAATTATAATTGATTAAAATTAAATATATGTTTATATTGAATATGCTTTAAAATTCATTTCATCAGTCACACTAGCCATGCTCCGAAGGCACAATAGTATGGACGGCGCAGATACGGATCATTTTCATTATCGCAGAAAGCTCTATTAGCACTGCAACCATTATACTACTAGAGGTTACTAATGTCTTTATTATGCCTTTTATAATTTGATGGTCATCTCAATTTTTTTACTATTTTCAATTTGCATAATTCTTTCAAGTAGATGCAAAGTTAAATAGTTGCATTAGATGAAGATCAGTCGCTGAGGTCTTGTCGATCTCTTTAGTAATAGATACATCGTGTTGTTTGGTCTTGTTTCATTAAAAATGCGTATCTGTGTTAATAGGGGTTTTTTAATAAAAATGTGTAATGGGTAAATAGGACTCTACCGCTGCAGTCCCCTACCCCCATGCCCCTGAACTGGGGCGCACAGCAGGAGGCAGCAACAGACAGAGATGGAAGCCCCACCTGTACCCACAGCCGCTCCCCATCGCTGGCATCACCGCCTGAGCCCCGCCCCCCGTCAGATCAGCAGGGGCATCAGACTCTCATAGGAGCGCGAACCCCACCGCAAACTGCGCATGCGAGGGATCCAGGTTGCGCTTCTCCATGAAAATCCAACACCTGATGATCTGAGATGGAGTCGAGCCAACAACGCTCCCCTCCCGCCCCACGAAACGGGTCCCTGATGTCAGAAAGATTGGAGACCGCTGCTCTACTGCGTACATCACATCAATCTAACTAGATACACTGTGTTTTTATTTAACTGATCCTCTGTTATAATATTTAGGTTTTTCAATATTTTAAGCAATGCAGCATTTAATAGCCTTGTAGTTAAGTCTTCCCTTAATCTATTATTATTTTCTGAGTATAAATTCTTAAAATTTAAATTGTACATTTTTATACTTTCTAATACATATTGACTAATTGCCTTCCCAAATACTGTACAAATTTACTGAGAGCATTCACACTGGCTTTACAAACATAATGCCAAGACTTATAAGCCTATATAAGCCTTACTTTTAACTAGACCAACCAGAAAACTAACAATGCACAAACTCACCTTTCTTTCGTAGCTGCCTGAATACACAATAAAAATCTGTGACAACTTATCTACAAAGAATTCTAAGTTTGGAGACTGCTGTCAAGAAAAGACACCCATGGACATTTTTATGTGCACCTACTTCATGCCAGCTGCGCAGCCTCCTGAGCTGCCAGACGTCGAGTTGCCCACAAACAAAGATGTGTGTGACCAGGGAAGCACCAAAGCCACGGATCAGTAAGTAGAGGAGATGTGAAATGTGTTTCCATTGTAAGTTCATCTGGACAGAAAGTGTGGCCAGATGGA